TCTGTGTGTGTGTGTGTGTGTCTGTGTGTGTCTGTGTGTGTCTGTGTATGTCTGTGTGTGTGTGTGTGTGTGTGTGTGTGTGTGTTACACTTATTCATGTATCACTAAATACAAGGAGCATAGGTTAAATATAAATCCACATATAGATTTCAAAAAGAAAGCAACAAAACAAATGCTAGGAGGAACAAGACTAAATATGTTAAGAATGAGAAAATATGGGGCTGATAGAAGCAAGTCAAGCACTTCTTTCCACTGTATTAAGCAACACCTGTAAGGCATTTTTGGTCAAAACCACTCTATAAGTGAGGCTGTAGAGATCTAGTTAATGAAAGAAGAATAATAAGCACATAAATATGTAGAAAGTAATTTATCTAGAGTAATATCTTGATTTTAAGAAAACAAAGTACTTCCCTGCTGTTTAAATATTAAGTGTTGATCTATAAACAGAAACTTATTGAGAAAAGTTTATATTTTGTATCATATGTGTGAAGGAATCTCATGTATGCTAGGAAGGATAACATTGGTGGTGATCACAAACGCATGCACACATTGTACAGGCACTTTCTAAACATGCAGAGTGTGACAGGAGGGGTATAGTGATTCATTCCTAGATTAATTCAAAAGCTCTAGGTCTATGTATTAAAATATCTGCAGAGGGTTAGAGAATTGAGTTAGTCTGTAAAGAGCTTGCCACACAAGCATGAGGACCTGAGTGCCCACCCCAGCTATTCTAAAAAGGAAAAAAGAAAAAAAAAAAAAACAGACATGGCAGCACTTATCATCCTTGTGATCACTTGCAAACTCAGAAAACATTACCAGGATAGAACCATGATTTTACCAATGACTCTTTGCAGCTAATTCTTCTTTCCTATTTTTTGTTACTAGTTTTGCAACTCAAGTGAGAATGGCATATTGTGGTCTACCTTAACTCCATTGTACAACCCCATGAAATTTAAATTCTGCTTAAAACAGGTACTTCTTACTGAAAAGCATTGAAAAAGTCAATGTAGACCAAGTTCACAGTTTATGAAGGGATAAAGAAAGTAGGTGTCTTAGTTGGGGTTGCTATTGCTGTAGAAAAACACTATGATCAAAAGTCACTTGGGGAAGAAAGGGTTCATTTCCCCTTACAGCGCATAAATAGGGAGAGAAGCCAGAGAAGAAACCTGGAGGCAGGATCAGAGGCTGGATTGCTGCTTACTGACTTGTTCCTCGTGGCTTCCTCAGCCTGCTTTCTTATAGCCCTCAGGGCCATCAGCCTAGTAGTGGCACTACCCACAATGCACTGTCTTAGTTACTGTTCTATTACTGTGAAGAGACACTGTGTCCAAAGCAAGTATTATAAAAAACAAACACTTGAAAGTGGGCTCAAAGCCTACCCCCTAATAACAACATCCTCTCAAAAGGTCTCATTTCCAATTGTTCTCAACAATTCTACTAACTTGGGATAAGCATTCAAACACATAAGCCTATGGGGGCCATTCTTAGTCAAACCACCACAGGCTTACCCATAGCATAACCTTATAGAGGCATGTTTATTTTTCAATTTAAGTTTCCTCATCTCAGATGACTCTAGCTTGTCATAGTCGTCAGAAACATGATCTCATAGCAGCTATGATTGCCTGGAAAGGATGTTCACAAGACTGGGGCTACCAACAGTCAATTGTGGATTGAGGAAGAGGTCACATGGGGTCCAACCTCTCATTGATAAACTACTGGCAGCTGACAAATTATTGGAAGAGAGGAAGTCATTGTCTTCAGCGTGGCCCTAACTGTGTGATCTAATGGAAAGTTCCAAAGTTGTGGTAACACAATTTTGCTTAAAATGATTGAATCACAAAACAAAGTAAAAATGGCAAAAAAAATGTAATAAAGGAGCATATAGGCAGAAAAAGTGTATGACAGCAGTGTAAAAGAGACAAAAGTGGGTGGTGACAAGAGTATTATAGTGATGATCCCCCATGGGAGGCCTCACCCTCTCTAAGGAGCAGATTGGGGATGGGATGGAGAGATGGTGGGGAAATGGGAGGACAGGAGGGAGACAGAACTGGGATCGATATGTAAAATAAGATTGTTTTTAATTTAAATAATACAAATATTTAAAAAATAAAAAACAATTATATACATGTATGAAATTGTCAAAAAAGGACATGAGTTTATTTTTTCCATTTTTATTTAAATTAGAAACAAGATTATTTTACATGTCAATCCCAGTTCCCTCTGCTTTTCCTCCTCCCCTGCCTCCCCCCAGCTAACACCCTACCTATCCCATACCCTTTCTGCTCCCCAGGGAGGGTGAAGCCTTCCATAGGGGTCTTCAGAGTCTGACATATCTTTTGGGGTAGGGCCTAGGCCCACCCCTGTGTGTCTAGGATCAGGGAGTATCCCTCTATGTGGAATGGGCTCCCAAGTTTAAAAGTGACAGAAAAATCATTGTTATTAAAAAGAAGACAGCTGCAAAGGCTGACTGTTGTTGGTTAAGATACCTCTAAGAGAAGAGCAGAGTAAAGTAGGACTGCAAGAAGACCACCTAGAGCCAACTAGTATCATGAATGTAAGAGCATCTTGGATAACAAAGTCATTCGAAAGGTAGAAAGGAGAGGAGGAGTTGAAAGAAATGCCCAACTCTTGGTAAAGTTGATATCTCAGGAGAAACAGAAATAATCTGAATCAGATTTCTATTAAGCTCTTTTATCATCTCTGAAGTTACAATTCTGATTAAATGATGGCTTAAATGATATAAAATGTTATTAAGCTAGAGGGAAACTTCATAGCTGAATGGTCTGTATCTTCAAAATAATGTGACCTAAGAATTTATCAACCCAATTACAAGACTGTTTCCACTTGATTTTGTTTGAGCACCCAAATTCTCCAGCAAACATGTACAAGTCTGACTGTTTCACTAGTTAATTGGCTGAAGATGTGCATGAAGATCAAGCATATTAATTAACCTCTGTAGGCATCACTTTACCCATCTGTGATGCAGAGATAATTACAACAAACCTTGTTAAAAAGTCTTAAAGAAGCTAATATTCATAAATCTCTATAGCATATGGTATTGTGGCAAATAAGCTATGAAAGTTAGACATGTCCCTCTTCCAAGGTTTACTTGTCTGCGCTATTATTGTGGTTCATTCATCTTCCACATTCACATCAATTTAAGAAAAAATAGTATATAACCTTCTGCTACCACAACAATGAATGAGGATGGTTATAATTTTACAAACTAGATTTCAATGCAGATTTAAATTTCAAATATGTCAGGGCTGTTATCTTGCATAAATATTATTTGTTTTATTCTTTCACAATTTTATACATATATAAAGTGTATGTATTTACTATTTACTTTCATATTTTTATCCTCTCTTAGCCCCTTTCCACTCTTAACAAACTCCTTCTTCTTCAAGTAAGTCTCCCTCCTGTCCTGTGTGTGTGTGTGTGTGTGTGTGTGTGTGTGTGTGTGTGTCTGTGTGTGACAAGCACTATATTTAGTTAGAGTTGCCTGTGTAAGCATGTAAGGAGATTATTTAACTGAACAATAATGGCAACTACGATTATTTCTATCACTGAGTAACTATTGACTAAAATTCCTCAGGTAGGAGTAGGGTTCGTGAGCTTCCCTCCCAGCCATGATGAATTATTGACAGGCCAATTCTTATGCAGGTCTTAGTCAGATAAACCCAGCCATTTTAAGTTCTATCATGAAGTAGCTACATAATGACCAAAAGCAAATGTTACATGAATTCTTGGGAATTTAGAGTCCATACTTTTTTAAATAAATGCAACTTTCTCTCAACATAAAAAAAAAAAGTGTGGTAGTGGCCTTTTAAGAAAAGACTAAGGCTGTGAAGGATTTAATTTTATTTTTATATTCAAATTAAGTAGGTATTATATGTTCTGCTGTCAAGTACAAAAAGGGGAGTGTTCCCCAGCAGAAATATACATGAAAGTTGATGTTTACAAGCCATGTTAAAAGACTTTCCCCCTCTACCCTTTGTTCTGGAATCATCAATGCTCGCCTTCTCCTGCATTTACCTTCCCTTCCCTGCCTGCCGGCTTGAGCTCCAGCACACTAGTCATCAGTTTTTATCACTCTTCTCTTCCTGTAGGACTGGGGCATGAAACCTGAATCAACTGTGACAACAGCAGAGAGCCAGTCTGATTCTATTATATGGAAATCTGCCTGCCTGTGCTGAAGGCAAGAAAGCAGTACAACGAAACCTACCATGTCACAAAAGCACAACCTGCTTTAACTAGAGTCTACTGTTTTAGGGCAACCTTGGAGAATTAGAAAAGCAATGCA